AATGATTTCCATTGTAGAGCTATTTTTGTAATTGAAGTCGGAAATAAAAAAGGTATTTGGCAAAGTTTTTTTTACACCGAAGGTGTTTTTTGAAGTTATTATTTTTACTAATTAATTACAGCTTATTTCGGTTAGACTACTTTTGCTTATTTGTGTTAGCATTAGCTATGCAACAAAGTTCAAATTCGTAGAAATATTCCTGTTTGTAATACATAAGGTTTACATTGGAATGTCACATTATATTTATAATTTCAGTAGTCAATACATAATTAAAATTCACAGGTTACTTGTTTTGAGATTCCATAACATTCAATTCTTTAAGTTTCTCAGTTACATTTTCTTCGATATTTGTTTCAGTTTTATCTTTATTCTCCAATTTCTTGAAATGCTCCTCATGAACAGGAGTAGTCTGCTTTGAACTCTTATCCTGTTCTTCATTTTCACTACTGACACTATAACTCACATCGCTTGAACTGTCTGTGTCACTGTCAGTCTTTATTCCTTCTGTATGACACTTACCTACATAAATTTCACATTCAGTTCCAACAATTTGCTTAGCTTTTTCAAATGCTTCCTTCCACAATGCAGCATCTTGAATAAGACAAATATACGTTAAATATTATATATAAATTTATATATATCTGAGCAAACCATCACAGATATTTCTTTCATAACTGACTGTTAGAAACAATTTTAATTATCGCTATCATATCATCCAAATTTGGGTGATATTTAAACAGCTAAAATTCCTCATGGCAGTCAAGGTTTTAATACAAATAGGTACACAAATAAATGAAGATGCAATATAGTTTACTATTTTTGCATGATTTAGCGTTTTAGATAATACGACATTTTATAAATATCTCTCCCATTAAATTGTATACACTCAAACATCATTGCCTGGGCAAATATTTTTAAGAGTTTATAGATCTGTGATAGGGAGATAAAAAATTATATAAACATTCCAAACTACAAACTTACTTCTTTAAAATTACTTGGCAAATGTACAAAATTATTTCAGTTAATGTTGAACTATAGAAAATTTAATAATATAATATTAAAGTAGCATTTCTTCACATTCATGTTGAAGCTATTCAGACTACATCACATGATGAAAAATAAGCATATTACTTTCTGCATTGGTGAATCTTATCGCCAGCAATTCCGACTTAAGTTCTTCATCTGCAAAATCAGCAAGTGCACTCCAAACCCATGCACGATCGCTTCCACAATTTGGTTTTAACTCCATCCAAGGCGTAATGAAATGGTTAGCACAGATTTTCAATGTTTTATCTCTGCGCATGACAACTCTAACCTTATTTTTTGTTTTATGTTTGAGCAATTTTATTTCTCCAGTACCCCTTTCCTTCCATTCTGGAGGGTCGCTCGATGAATCATATCGGTAAAGTTTAGCTCTCCTGAAAAACAGAATTTAATTTTCATAATGAAGGTAATGTTGAGACTAGTTTAAATTTTTTTAATTCATACTGAATTATGTTTTACAATATACTTTATAAAATCTAAGAAGGAAATAAAATAATTATGTACCTACAATTTTATCATTTCTTCTTCATCCTCCTCATTACTTGATACATCAATCAACGGTAGTGAAATTATCGGATCAAAATGAAATTCATCTTCTGGAGTATCATCTTCATTTTCATTGTTCCTTCCTCCTTCCACATTTACATCCACTACTCGATTTCCATTCAACTTAAAAGTATACAATTTATTAAATTCAAAATTTCAGAAATTATAAGAAATTAATGAGACAATAAATATCAAAGTCGTGTAATTTATGCTTGAAATAAAAAATAAATTATTGTTAACTGCAGAGAATAAGATAGTGAAAAATAACATCAGCTATTTGAACAAACATGCACAAATAGAATGTCTGTAAGCAAAAGAGGTTAACAAGAAATAAAATCATGTAGTGACACAAATCTGTGCATTTTCATGAAACACGGATGGCTGGAAACTTTTTTCAGTTGAGCGTGAATTAATAGAAATAATACATTTTGATCGGTTAATTAGAGCAGTGTTCTATTAAAATGATTACAGTGACTGTTACTTCTTGCTGTTGTATTCATGATAAATAATTTATATTAAAAACAAATCATTGCATCTAAATTAAAAGAATTTCCAATGTGCATGCAAATATGCAGTTACCGCGTTGTTCGGCATCTCAAAATTTTGTTACAACTTTTTCACAAACTAAAGGCGAAGAAATGCCATAAAGATATAGACAAACACGCTACTACCGCGGGAGAAGAGAAGTACACGGATTTATAAAACTTTGAGAAAGTTTACACTGTTTACAGCGACTGCGTTTTATTAAAATCAAAGAAAAAAGATTCGGTGTATACACACAGATGAGTTGAGAGATTGCTCACGGGCAGGGTCGCGCATCGCATCCTGTGCTGCCCTCTGGTTTCGTACGTTAACGGTCACCGTTTTTTGCCCCAAGGGCGGCGTAATGAATTTCTGATAGGAGCTCGCGCACTCGCGATGGTGGTACCATCTACCAGTCGCCGTTGGCGGCTCACGTACTCGTGATGGTAATACCATGCGGCAGTTGACGGTGGTGGCTTACTTACGCTTGCCGACATTGCTCGCTATTGATGGTAAGGGAAGAACACTCGTGACACTCCATTTGACTTTATCTACTTATCTACTACAATTAAGTACATTGTTGCTTCGAAGTCGACGTGATGCGGAGCTTTGTGGCACGCGTCGGTGTCGCGTACGGAACCCTCATGCAGCGAATCTGCGTGAGTGCGATCGCTCCTAGAAATCTTCGCGCGTCCCAACCAGCCAAGCGCCAAGCTACGGGTCGAGACGTTGAGCATGTGTGCGTTCGGCGCTACACTCGAGGAGTATGCATGAGAGTCGAATGCTGCGAAAAATCCTCCCGAGGCTTACCTAACCCCGGATATAAGCCGAGTCATTTCGCATATGATTTTTACATTTCCCTACTAGCGTTATCGAGCATTTTCGAGTGTTTTCGAGCATTATCGAGCGTTTTTCGAGCGGTTTCAAGCCTTTTCGAGCGTTATCGAGCGTTTTTCGACTGTTCTTGAACGTTTTCGAGCGTTTTTCAACCATTTTCGAGCGTTGTCGAGCGTTATCGATCGTTTTCACGCGTTTTTCAAATGTTTTCGAGCCTTATCGAAGGCCGTACAGTGCCGTTGCGTGTGTTAAGTGCAGAAGAGTGCCGGAGAGTGCCGCAGAGTGCCGGAGTGGGCCGGAGAGTGCCGGAGAGTTGCCAGAGAGTGCCGGAGAGTTGCCGCACAGTGGAGAGTGCCGGAGAGTTGCCGCATAGTGTCGGAGAGTGCCGGAGAGTGCCGAAGACTGCTGGAGAGTTACCGGCGAATGCCGGAGAGTGCCGGAGAGTTGCCGCATAGTGTCGGAGAGTGCCGCAGAGTGCGGGAGAGTGCCAGAGAGTGCCTGAGAGATTCCGGAGAGTGCCGGGGAGTGTCGGAGAGCGCCGGAGATATGCCGCTGAGTGTCACAGAGTTGCCACAGAGTGCCGGAGAGTGCCGGAGAGTTGCTGGAGCGTGCCGGAGAGTGCCGGAGAGTGCCGGAGAGTAGCTGGAAAGTGCCGGAGAGTACCGAAGAGCGCCGGAGAGTTGCCGGAGAGTGCCGGAGAGTGCCGCAGAGTGCCAGAGGGTGCCGGAGAGTTGCCGCAGAGTGCCGGAGAGCGCCGGAGAGTGTCGGAGAGTGCCGCAGGGAGCCAAAGAGTGCCGCAGAGTGCAGAAGCGTGCCGGAGAGCGCAGAAGCGTGCCGGAGAGCGCCGGAGAGTGTCGGAGAGTGCCGCAGAGTGCCGGAGCGTGCCGGAGAGTTGCCGGAGAGTGCCGCAGAGTGCCGGAGAGTGCCGCAGAGTGTCGGAGAGTGCCGGAGAGTTGCCGCAGAGTGCCGCAGATTGCTGAAGAGTTGCCGCAGAGTGCCGGAGAGCGCCGGAGAGCGCCGGAGAGTGTCGGAGAGTGCCGGAGAGTTGCCGCATAGTGTCAGTGCCGGAGAGCGCCGGAGAGTGTCGGAGAGTGCCGCAGAGTGCCGGAGCGTGCCGGAGAGTTGCCGGAGAGTGCCGCAGAGTGCCATAGAGTGCTCTAGAGTGTCCTACTGTGCCGTAGAGTACCGTAGGGTGCCGTAGAGTGCTGTGGAGTGCATCATATTGCATTAGAGTGCATTAGAGTACTGCAGCGCTCTAATTATATTGCCATAATTATATGCATTAGAGTGCTTTAATTAGCTCGCTATTCAAAGTGCCTTTGTTGGGGGGCCGTTATCAGCACTCTAATTAGAGTGCCATAATTATAGTGCACTAGAGAAATCTAATTAGAGTGCCATAATTAGAGTTTATTACAGCGCTCTAATAAGAGTGCTGTAATGCACTCTAATTATAGTGCTAATGAAAGCCCCCTAACAAAGGCACTCTGATTGGAGTGCTAATTCTGGCACTCTAATGCGTCATAATTATGGCACTCAAATTTGATTGCTATAATGCACTATAATTATGGCACTGTAATTAGAGTACTGCAGTACTCTAATGCACTCTAATGCACTCTAATGCACTCTAATGCAATATAATGCACTCTATGGCACTCTACGGCATTCTACGGCACCCTACGGTTCTCTACGGCACTGTAGCGCACTCTTGAGCACTCTATGGCACTCTACTGCACTCTGCGGCACCCTCCGGCATCTCACCGGCACTCTTCGGCACTCTGCGGCCCTCTAGGGCACTTTAGAGCACTCTAGGGCTCTCTACGGCACTCTACTGCACGCTGCGGCACTCTCCGGCAACTCACCGGCCCTCTCCGGCACTCTGCGGCCCTCTGCGGCACCCTCTGGCACTCTGCGGCAACTCTCCGGCACTCTCCGTCACTCTGCGCCCACTCTCCGGCACTCTCCGGCACTCTCGGGCACTCTGCGGCAACTCTCCGGCACTCTCCGGCAACTCTCCGGCACTCTCCAGCACTCTGCGGCACTCTACGGCAACTCTGCATCACTCTCCGGGACTCTCCGGCACACTCCGACACTCTCCGGCACTCTGCGGCAAATTTCCGGCACTCTTCGGGACTCTCTGGTAACTCTCCGGCACTCTGCGGCACTCTCCGGTACTCTCCCGCACTCTGCGGCAACTCTCCGTCACTCTCCGGCACACTGCAGCAACTCTCCAGCACTCTCCGACACTATGCGGCAACTCTCCGGCACTCTCCCGTACTCTGCGGCAACTCTCCGGCACTCTCCGGCAACTCTCCGGCACACTGCGGCAACTCTCCGGCACTCTCCGNAAAGCTCCGCATCACGTCGACTTCGAAGCAACAATGTACTTAATTGTAGTAGATAAGTAGATAAAGTCAAATGGAGCGTCACGAGTGTTCTTCCCTTACCATCAAAAGCGAGCAATGTCGGCAAGCGTAGGTAAACCACCACCGTCAACTGCCGCATGGTATTACCATCACGAGTACGTGAGCCGCCAACGGCGACTGGCAGATGGTACCACCAACGTGAGTGCGCGATCTCGTATCAGAAATTTGTTGCGCCGCCCTTGGGGGCAAAAAACGGTGAAAGCTAACGTACGAAACCAGAGGGCAGCATAGGATGCGATCCCATGATCCTGCCCGTGAGCAATCTCCCAACTCATCTCTGGTATATGTACATATGTACATCGCTCATACTCAAACGGTGTAAACCTTGATGCATCTGGTTAGTTCCTACTGCGGCTGCAATTTCTTACATCTCAGTGAAGTTCTATATTTGTATGTAGTCATTGTTTGCAACTTGCGACCCCTATGATGCATTGACAGAAAATGAAGCAAAAATTCAAAATGTCTACGTTCTGTGACGTGTAGTTTACTTCAAAAGCATTAAGTACTGCGGCGAAATGGAATACTTTAAAAGCAGTTTGAAATCTGTTCTGGGAGCACCTCCTCCAGGAAATCAACCCACTGGTGCTGACACGGTACGCAGTTAAAACCGATCTAATCTTTTTATTTAACACGTGACATTTATTTTTGACACATATGGTGATTGTACTTTTGCTGTTGTTTTAATCAACAGAACTTAAAACCTTAAGATGTTCACTTTAAATGATATTGTTATTAATAAAATTACAGTTATTATAAAATCGACATATTCCCCTCTGATTAACTGTAGCAATTTTGAAGTGGACGTAAATTTAATAATTCTAATATGTGCTTGTACAGGTGGAGCGATTAGTAGATAGGCTTCAGTCTTCGACCTTGCTGGATGACAGAAGAGATGCTTGTCGAGCCCTCAAAGCACTCTCTCGAACGTATCGGGTGGAAGTTGGTGCCCAAGGGATGGATGCACTTAGGCAAGTTCTTGAAATGGATAGAACCGACTGTGAAATCATAGGCCTAGCTTTGGATACCTTGTGTAATGTTACTAATCCTGAAATATTTGATGAGGAAGGTGTGTATACTTAAATATGTAGTTATTGTGGTTAAATAACATTTTTTAATAAAAATGATTTTGTAGTTGATAAGCATGGACCAAAGAATAAAATCGGAGAGCAATTCACAGAAATATTTATCAAACAACCAGATAGCGTTGGTCTAGTGTTAACATTTTTAGAGGAATTTGACTTTAGAGTTCGCTATCCATCCTTGAAACTATTAACACATTTACTAGCAAATCGACCAAAAGATATTCAAGAAATTATACTTGAAAGTCGTATGGGAGTTTCTAAATTAATGGATCTTCTGACTGATAGTCGAGAAGTTATTCGTAATGATGTAAGTAACTTGTTTATTTTGTAAAACTTTGTTTTTTATTCATTTACTACTGCGATAAAAACATGTTATGCATTGATTAATTATTTTGTACAATTTCTTTATCTAGGCTCTTTTATTGCTTATACAATTAACTAAAGGTAATGCTAACATCCAAAAAATTGTAGCATTTGAAAATGCGTTTGATAGGATATTTGATGTAATTTTACAAGAAGGTGGAATAGAAGGAGGCATAGTTGTTGAGGATTGCCTCTTACTTATGTTAAATCTTTTAAGAGGAAACGTCAGCAATCAAAATTTTTTTAAAGAAGGTACTTTATATGTTTTCATTTTTATTAACAAATATATATATATATACACAATATTTGACTAACTTATTTAACCTCAGGTAGTTACATACAAAGACTGACTCCCATGTTTCAAATGCCACCTGAAACGGAAGAAGGTCCTTTTGTTGGCTGGAGCTCTCAAAAGGTATCAAATGTGCATTGCATGGTGCAAGTAATTCGAGCATTAGTTGCTCCAAGTGGGTCAGCACGGGTAATTATATGAAATACTAGTTTATCAAATGACTTAAAATTTCATTATTAAAGAAAGCTGTTTAACTAGTAAATTATATTTCAAGACTGTTGCAGCCTGTCAGCGAATTATGAGAGCTTGTGGATTACTGCAAGCTTTGTGTGACATTCTAATGGCAGGTGGAATCCCTGCAGATGTATTAATGGAAACCATAAATGCAGTTGCAGAAGTTATCAGAGGAAACGCTAGTAATCAAGAATTTTTAGCTGATGTTATGGCACCAAGTAATCCGCCAAGGTGTTTTTCTAGTAATTCATAGTATTACATTTTTTTTAAATCTAACAAAATATTTGTAACTTGTGGAATTTCATAATTATTTTATAGGACAGCAATAGTGGTTTTATTGATGTCAATGGTTAACGAGAGGCAACCTTTTCTCCTTCGATGCTCGGTACTGTATTGCTTTCAGTGTTTTTTGTACAAGAATGAAGCTGCACAAACACAATTAGTACAAACATTATTACCACAAGGAAATGAAGCAATGTCGTTAACTACAGGTTAGTTTTTCATGATTTGTAAATGATAAATAGATCAGTTTAATTAAATGTTTACATTGTCAAATAGGTTTGGTCCAAAGTGCAATTTTTGTTTATAGGTCAATTACTTTGCACTGGATTACTGTCAACAGATTCATTATCAAACTGGTTTTCTGCCGTTGCCTTATCCCATGCTTTAATTTGTAATATCACTCAAAAAGAGTTACTATTGAGGGTTTTGTTGGCTACGAATACTAATAAACCTCCAGTAACGTTAATGGAAAAGTGCGTTACATTGCTTCAGCAAGGAAACAGAACGCAGAGCAAATTGGGGCTTCTGATTCTACTTTGCAGATGGACAGCACATTGTCCAACTGCTGTAGAAACTTTCCTTTCCATAGATTCATCATTTGCCTATTTAATGGCATTGTTGTCCTCACAGGAAAATAATGATGATATGCAAGAAGCTTTACTTCAAAGTCTGTGTGCATTACTTATTGGTCTATGTGTGCACTTCAATAATAATAGCGTACCTAATTACTCTAAGGTTAATATTTTATCTTCAATGCGTTGAATAATTTTTTGGTACATATCTTAATTATAACGAGGTCAATATTTTAGGAGAAACTTTGCAATTTGATTGAAAACAGAATAGGGATGGAACGATTTCAAGATGCAATAGGCGGCATTACAAAACATGAGGTTTATTCTAAGACACTAAAACATCCACAACCATCAGCGAAAAGTCCTAATGAATTGTTACTGGACCACGAGTTTTGCAGACTGTTGAAATCCTTAGAAGGTATTTCTTACCTTCTCTTTTACATCTTTTTTATTCTAATTTTCATCTCTAACATCGACCCAATATTTTTAGGATATATCCTTAAATCAGTACTAGAAGGGAATAGTTTACAACAAAACAAAGACCATATTTCAGCAATGATGCCTTCTGATTCAGGATTACTGGCAGAATATAAAAAACTTGTAATGGACCTTGATTTTAAAGCACAGGACCTTAGTAAAGCTAATGAAACTCTGATGAAAGAAAAACGTGAATTAGAGGTTTGTATTAAAATTTAAGTAATAGAAAAATGCAAGTAAAGGAAATATTTGCTTTGCATTTTTGCTAACAGTAGTACTAACTCACATTGTCTAGTAAAATTATAACTTGTTTTATTCCAGGCTCAAATATACGAACTTCAATCAACAGTCAGTCAATTAAAAGACCAAAATTTAGTTCTTCGTGCAGCACAAGCAAATCTATCAGATAGTAAAGAAGTGATCTCATCATCCAATCACATAGACAGTAATAATGAAGAATTGATGAAATATAAAAATACAGTTAAAGATTTAGAAACTCGTTTAGCCGAATGTACACTGAAATTTCAAGAGTATGAGCGAAAAGCTACGATTCACAATAACGATATTGAAAGAATATTAAAAGAAAGAACAGAGGAACTAGAAAAGATGAAAAAAGATCAAGAAGATCTTTTGGAACTTTTAACGGACCAAGATAACAAAATTGTTTTCTGCAAAGAAAAACTTGCTGCATTAGGGGCGAAGGTAATACTTTAAGGCTGTGACATACCAATTATTACATGGATGCACATTTGCTGTAACTTTGTATTTCAGGTCGACTCAGAAGAAAGTTCTGGAGAACTTGATACAGATGATCAACCTGAGTGAATAAACTAAACTGGTGTAAGTCCTGGTTGCCATGAAAAAACATGTAAAATTTTATTATTGTATAAATTCTATTGTGTATGTGATTTGCAAGTTTCGAAACAGTTTACGTTCGCAAAGTAATCTTATGAAGGGGTATGAGCCAGCGAAATTAGGTTAATACGTGTACATACATTTATTTGTGAAATACGATCTACTTTAACGAATGTGTTATTCATGTAAGTTTGCTTCGTACAAATGCATATTAACAGAGGAGAAATACTTTTGATTTCATTAAAAAATTAGTGATACAAAGATGTAATACCTGAATAGATTTAAACGTGTAATTTTCTAATGACATTTCGATTTGAAATATACAGATTTTATCATTTGAGATAAGTAAATGCATAGTGTGAAAGTTTGCAAAAAGCTACATTATAAAAAAGTACAGGGTTCCTTTCAGAATTAGTATGGCATATTGCATGCCATTAATGGTTTGAAATGCGCGACATATTTGGACGTACAATTTCTAAAAAAAAATATATATATAAAATAATTTGTAGGTTATTGAGTATTAATAACGGTATAATGATTTGGAGAAGTACGATAACATGAGATGTTTTTCCTTTGAAATCGTTTACACCTATGCACGTGATTGAACAACTGTAGTGTCTAAAACTTAAACACTACAATTTATTTTATCTTACTAAATTATAATTTGGTCTCCAGGACTGTTGCATTTTAATTACTTTATTTGTGATGAACTAGTACACTATGCATTTAAGGATCGATAATAATCATATACCCCGAACTTGACATTTTTTGCATATATTGAAATAGAAAGTGCATGTATGTAAATGATGTATACTTGGAATTTTAAATGTATAGTAATACTGTCGATAAACTCATGAGATTCATTATAAGTAAACTTGCGTTTGAGTTAGTAATTTCATTATAGTTGTATCAATGCACGTTAACAAATTATCGTAAACAGCCATGTTGATGTCATTTCAAAATTGTTAACCCTTTTCCGTCATTTCAATGAAAGTAAACAAAATGAAAGCGGCGAGAGGCACATATTTTCGCGCAAAATATGCAACTAGGAAGTGTCAAATGATCTTTATATTTAAACGATTTAATCGGACATAAAAAATTGTAATCGGAAATATCTTTCTTATGTATATCATTTACTATTGATTGGTTAACCAAACTATCAGGTTACATGGTATAGAATTCTGTTATAATTTTATTGCCATCTCATAATTTAACTTATAATTCCATGAAAGCATTTTCTAAAACTGCAGTATTACAGTAAATACATTCCACTATTAAACGTCTCTTTATACCATCATAACAGAATCCTATCTATTTACACAGTAATGTATGAATCAATTATAAGTTGCTTGGCGTTGTTTTAGGACTGCTTGAACACACTTCGCCATAGTCGAAGATGCTCTGGATATGACATCCGTCATGAAAAATTGATCTAATGTCCTCTGTTTAATTCCTATAGGTTCCGGTAAAAACGACCCTCTGGTTTGCTATAAAATAAAAAAATGTGGATTGAGATTTACTGATTATATTGTATACAATGACAAAAGAAAATGCAAATACGTGGTTGCACACATTTTAGATATGTTTCAATAATGCTTTCTTACCTGCGCAAGCTCAAGGGCCTGGGCGAAGAAATTAGAGGCTTCTACCTCGCCATATCTAACTAAATGAGGAGCAACTTCCTCAAGTCGATCACGCACCTCGTTTATGTTGTCGTAGGGTAGACAAATATCACAAATCTGAAAGAAGAATCCAAATTTGTTTTTGCTATGTCAGAATTATAACTTTAAAAAGATTAATTATATTTTTTAATACCTCTGAAAGAGCACGAATAACTTTCCAATCCGGACGCGCCATCCCTGGAGGAGTGATTGCAGCACCAGTTTCTTGTGAGCGACCTTCTGTATTCACATAGCTTGCATTCTTTTCAGTGTATGCTGCACCAGCTAATACTACATCAGCAATACTTGCCCCTTGATCACCATGACTTCCTATAAAAAATAGTATTGTAAAATGTAAAATTACGTTTTCTTCTTAAAAATTTAGTAGTTAATTCTAGTTTAATTTAGTTTCAATTCTTAAATTATTAGTATCTGGGAGTACCGTAACTCTTGACAAACTCACCTAAATATATGATAAATGTATTTTTAAAATCTTCTTTTTTAATGTTAGCATCATCAGCTCCCAAAAGAAACAGAACTGTAGGTTGTTGTTGTTTAACTTCTTCCACAGTGGATGCATAACCAAGATCCAGTGCACCTACTTGTGATGCATTTGTGTGAAGAACATTCAGAACTTTCCATTCCGAAGAGGTCTAAATGGATAGAAAACTAAGCACATAAAAAAAGAATCCAAAGGAAGTAATAACAACTTATTAACATGTAAACTGACCTGTAGTTTGTCCTCCAATGTTTTAGCAAGCGCTTGAGTTTCAGATAGTATTTTGCCTCCGTCCCGTCTCGTGAATTGATTAACACCCAAGACAATTGTAGGTCTTTTAGCATTTTTTAAAGTTTCACTGAATGGATGTGTGCCATTTGCCAATTGCGTAATAATTTCGGGTGAATCTCCTAAATGCTAAAGAAATAAATATTCAGTTTATAATATACCGTTTGCGAAAATATTAGTATTTCTTTTTCTTACTTTCATAGTGTTTTATATTCAAACAGGCAACTATAACGATATCGGTGAGATCAATTCTACATAACGTACCTCATGATCATATGTTAAATCCACATCTGATCCTATGAGTGCTATAGTTTGTTCATTATGTAAATAACCTTTTCTTAAACGAGTATTCACCAAAGGGGCTTCATATCTCGGATTTGTACCAATCAATAGAACTACATCAGCTTCTTCAATGTTAGCAATGGTATTATTTAAAAGATAACTGCTTCTGAGATCAATACCTGAACCATCTTTTGGGAAATTTTGTTCCGTTGCAAGAGTTTCACTACCAAGTCTATTGATTAGATCTTTCAATGCAATAAGAGCTTCAGCATCAGCTAGCTTCCCAGCAATAGCTGCGCATTTATCTTTCGGTGCGTTTCGCAAAGTCTTGGCAGCTGTTTATTAATAAATCAGAAATCATTTTACAATCTTTTATGTTTGATAAATCTATTCTAAAGTTATGGGTATTTCCACTGGTAATAAATTATTCAAAATACTAACCAGCCACAAGAGCATCTTCCCATTCCACATTTTGCAACTTTCCATCAATTTTAATCATCGGAGTAACAAGTCTTTGGCGTTTAAGACCATCATATGAAAAGCGCGCTTTATCTGATATCCATTCTTCATTTACATCCTGATGATAGTCAAGTTTAAGAATGTATTTTATTTTAACATTACCTTGTTTCTTTTTTTAGTACAATTATGTACTTACTTCGTTAACCCTGGGTAAAATTCTTAGTACTTCACCCGTTCTACTAGAAACTACTATATTACTGCCAACAGCATCTAAAACATCAATGCTGTCTGTCCGTCGAGTTTCCCATGGCCTTGCCACAAAGGCGTAAGGTTTACTTGTAAGGGCACCAACAGGGCATAGATCAATGATGTTGCCAGATAGTTCCGAAAGGAACATTTTCTCAACATATGTACCAACCTGCAATTAGTGTATCAATTAACTTGTTTATTTAATTCATTTTTATAAACAATATTCAATGTATATACCTGCATATCATTTCCCCGACCTGTAGTGCCTAAATCATCTATGCCAGCAACCTCAGATGCAAATCGGATACATCTTGTACAGTGAATGCAACGTGTCATGATGGTTTTAACCAAAGGTCCAATGTCTTTATCTTCTACGGCTCTTTTTCCAGTAAAGTTGATATCAACGAAACGACTTCTATCATTACCAAAAGCCATACTTTGATCTTGAAGATCACATTCACCACCTTGATCACAAATAGGGCAATCTAATGGATGATTAACCAACAAAAATTCCATAACTCCTTCACGTGCTTTCCTTGTCAAATCAGAATCAGTTTTTACTCGCCATCCTTTCATAACAGGCATTGCACAAGCTGCAACAGGCTAAATATAACAATAATGAATTCCACAAGAAATTAATTATTTATAAGTTGAAAGTTTACTTTGATCATAATATTACGATATTCTACCTTTAACTGTTTCTCAATTTCCACGAGACACATTCTACAATTTCCAGCAACTGCAAGACGCTCATGATAACAAAATCGTGGTATTTCAACACCAACCTTTGCTGCAGCCTAAACATCCAATATGATTTAAAATATATGTGCGCTCAATTCATTGCAAACCTATTTATTGTTTTATGTAACAACTAAGTTGGCTAGTCTACATTATTTCAAATTCAATGCATGCACAGAAGTAGAATTTCAATACTATTGTCAAAAACTTTTATATGAAATGATCCGATGCTGTTAAAATTGACCGGTATATTAATAGTCAGTCAGATAACAGATTCTTCCTTATTTCTATATATTTATGAATGTGTAATAGTGAATTATGTGAAAGTGATAGTACCTGAAGAACTGTAGTACCAGGTGGAACCTTTACAGGTTTGTCATCAATGAACAACTCAACCAATTCGGTAGCAGCCTGTAGATTGACTACGGAAGTGTGGAATTTTGCATTTCCAAGTTTGCCACTGGACAGGCCAGTGGCCCGCAGGAGCGGTAGTCTCAACATTTTCTATAAATCAATGGGAATAATATTTCTACTATTATATAATAAACAATATGGTTTCACAAACACAGAATCAATGATCTAACCTATGTTTACGGAAATCTGTTACCGCAATAAAGGAATTGAGACATAACAGAACCATATCAACTGTGAAACTAAGTTATAATGGAATTACAAGCTAACACGACATGTATAATTAAATAAAAAATGTCTAACTACGTTGTAATTTACGTAAATATCAGTACCAAAATTCGTCAATCCCGAAACCCCTGCCTTGATGTCGGGACTGCCGAATCTTGGAAGCAGGGCACCATGAAAACCAATGAAAATGTAGTATGGGCAGATTGGTCAATACCCGTTGGCTATATATGTATGGACAGAGATGAGTTGGGAGATTGCTTACGGGCAGGGTCGGGCGATCGCATTGTGTGCTGCCCTCTGGTTTCGTACGTTAGCTTTCACCGTTTTTTGCCCCCAAGGGCGGCGCAACGAATTTCTGGTAGAGGCTCGTGCACTCGCGATGGCTGTGCCATCTACCAGTTGCCGTTGGCGGCTCACGTATTCGTGATGGTAATACCATGCGGCAGTTGATGGTGGTGGCTTACCATTATGGCAATCTCCTAACTCATCTCTGCCAAATCAGAGATGAGTTGAGAGATTCACGGGAAGGATCGAGTCGATTCGTTGGGGCGTCGGAACATAAACTCTTTTTCCAGAGGAAATTCAGATTCGCTTATAATACACCGGCAACGCACCACGCTAGGAAACGGTAAGATACGGCGGTCGTCCCGGCCGTCCCGGGCAGTCCCGAGAAAGGTGTCCATAAAAAATAATATAGCAATGAGTTGAGAGACTTTCTATGGGCTGGCTCGCGCGAATGCATTTGCGCTGCCCTCGGTGGAGAATACAGGCGGTTCGGGCATTGCGATCTGATATCGCCCAACAATGGCCCAACTCGGTAATCCACGTTATCTATGCATCCTTCTCTCGGCTGTTCGGGCCGCGATCGTTGGATTTTTCCAGACGGCTCAGGTAGTGAGGCCGCTAGATTTGATGACGAGCATGCGCGAGTCGGCGGCATGACAAAGAACGCGGTTTCGACTAATCTGAAAGACCGGGGTCGCTGCCTGGTACGGCGGACCAGCAGTTGCCCCGCATAAGCCACGGTGGAAAGGCACCGTGAGCAATTTAGCGAATGATCCGGGGCATCTTACATGCTATATTCCAAATTCATACCAACGTGGCGCAATAATTCTCAATCGACGGCATTCAGATCAATAAACATTTTTTAACACTTGGCATGCGAGTATACTTCGCCGCTAACTTACGCGTGCAGCGGGCGTTTTTTTGTGAATAGCGCCACAAATCTACTAAATACGTATTTTTACGCGACCCTCGTTCCAGTGACAGACTGCAAAAAACGTGAAAATACATTGCCTGCCTGCTAAGTGTTAACATTCGTTACCAAGTCCAGTCAGGTTTATTTTGATTAACCGTTTGAGTCCCAAGCAGCGCGATCGCGCTGTTCAGATTTTATGTCGAGAAAACTCAGCACATTTCGAGCGATGTAGACAACTAGCGGTGCGTCACCGATTGTCGAAGTCGCGCGCTCAAATTTACTCACCCAAGTACATCTTCCTCTAATGTAAATAATACATATTACAATTCCAGAAACGCTATAGCGCCGATTAGGATTCATCGACATAAAATAAACGAAGCGCTATCGTGCCGCTTGGGATTTATCGACATAAAATAAAAGAAACGCTATCGTGCTGCTTGGGTCTTCTCGTACTCATTTAGAGAAAGCGCGATTGCGCTGTTCGGGATTCTTCGACAGGGTTTTTTCGATACCCCCTGGGACTCAAACGCTTAAAAACGCCCAGAAACGCCTAGAAACGCCAGAAAACGCAAAAAACGATTTCGAAGTTCAAAAACGCGTATCTCCTCTGAAAAAAATTGCATCCACTCGCGCGAGAGCTCATTTTGAAGCTAAGAACCTTCCCCGTCGAGCTGCAAAAGTCGCAGTCGCGAAAAACATTCCGCGGCGGCTGGGCGACCCGGTAACCGGCGGCCAAATAAGTAGTACCGAAAAACGCTTAAAAACGCCCAGAAACGCCTAGGAACGCCAGAAAACGCCAAAAACGATTTCGAAATTCAAAATCGCGTATCTCCTCTGAAAAAAATCGCATCCACTCCCGCGAGTGCTCAATTTGAAGCTAAGAACCTTCCCCGTCGAGCTGCAAAAGTCGCAGTCGCGAAAAAAATTCCGCGGCGGCTGGGCGCCCCGGAAACCAACGGCCAAAAAGTAGTACCGAAAAACGCTTAAAAACGCCCGGAAACGCCTAGAAACGCCAGAAAACGCAAAAAACGATTTCGAAGTTCAGAAACGCGTATCTCCTCTGAAAAAAATCGCATCCACTCGCGCGAGTGCTCAATTTGAAGCTAAGAACCTTCCCCGTCGAGCTGCAAAAGTCGCAGTCGCGAAAAAAATTCCGCGGCGGCTGGGCGCCCCGGTAACCGACGGCCAAATAAGTAGTACTGAAAAACGCTTAAAAACGCCCAGAAACGCCTAGGAACGCCAGAAAACGCCAAAAACGATTTCGAAATTCAAAAACGCGTATATCCTCTGAAAAAAATCGCATCCACTCGCGCGAGAGCTCAATTTGAAGCTATGAACTTTCCCCGTCGAGCTGCGAAAGTCGCAGTTGCGAAAAAAATTCCGCGGCGGTTGGGCGCCTCGGTAACCGGCGGAAAAACAAGTAGTACCGAAAAACGCTTAAAAACGCCCAGAAACGCCTAGGAACGCCAGAAAACGCCAAAAACGATTTCGAAATTCAAAAACGCGTATCTCCTCTGAAAAGGGCGGCCGAGGGTGCGCGAGCGGGTGCGCGGTGGTGCGGGCGCGCATGCGCCGGGCCGCGGGCCAACATGTCCGCCCTCGGTCCTCGAGGTCGAAGGATCCGGCGCGCCTAAGCCTCTCCCGCGGAGTCGCGGTGCCTCCGCGAGTTAGCCGGTCAGCCGGTCTCGGGGCGTGAGGACCGATCGCCGGTCCCTCGGAGCCAGCGGCCGTGCCACGCGCAGGTGCCTCGCGGTTCCGCGGCGCGTTCGTCCCGCCCGGGCGTCGCGACGCCGCCGCCGGCGGCGGCACTCGAGGGCTCGGCAGCGAGCACCGACCCGCCCGGAAGGAGGCGAGCGATCGATCCCGGAAGGAGCGAGCGGGACCTCCGCGACGTCGAGGTCTACCGCCGCGGACCATCCGCGCCTCGTCGTCGAGCGACCGCAGCCAGTCGGACCAAGTTCCCCGGAGTCGCTCCGATTTACGCCGATCCTCGCACAGGGTAGGTGCCCCAACCCCTTTCCCCTCCCCGGGGACCTCGGGAATCCTCGGTTGCAACGTTTTCGTGATTTCGGGATGATACCTCCTCCGTTCAAGTTGCTCTCA